ACACAGAAACCTGCACGGATGTTTATAGCAACTTTCATCACTATCACTTGGAAGCCACCGAGGTGCTCTTTTGTAGGTAGATGGATAAAAACTGTGGTCCATGCAGACAGTGGAATACTCTTTGGAACTAAAAAGGCACAAACGAGGGAGGCAAGGACCGGGAGTGTGGGACTGGCAGAGGAAAACGATCACATACAGGACAGGAGAACAAGGTCCTACTGTAACAGCGGAGGGAACTATTGCTGTGTTCGATATCTTGGGATAAGCCATAATGGTAAAAGAATATAAAAAAAGAATGTCTATATGTGTAAAACTGAGTCACTTCGCTGGAGAGCAGACTTTGGCACAACATTGTAAATCGACTATAATAAAAAAAAAAGAGCTATCAAACCATGAAAAGACACGGGTGAAATGCAAATGCCTGTGACTAAGTGAAAGAAGCCAGTCTGCAAAGGCCACACACTCTGTGATTCCAACGACATGACACTCTGGAAAAAGCCAAACTATGGAGTCAGTAAAAAGAACAGTGGTTGCCAGGGGTTAGTGGGAGGGAGGGATAGACAGAGCACAGAGGGTTTTTCGGGAAATAAAACTCAACTCTGCTTGATGGTGGATACGTGTCCTTACACGTTTGCACAGAATCTGTCCTTACAGAATGCACAACGCCGAGGGAGCCCTAGTGTAAAAGTGGATCTGAGTTAACACTAACGCATCAACCCTGGCTCATCAGGGTGTCCCTGGCCACACGATGTCAGACGTTCGCGTGGAGAAGCCTGGGAGGTGGGTGGTTATACAGAACTCCTGTTCCTTCCATTCAGTTTTCTGTAAACCTAAAACCACTCTAAAAAAACAGCGTCGAAGGTGGCGCGGACAGTAAAGAATCTGCCTGCAATGTAGGAGACTCGGGTTCGATCCCTGGGTTGGGGAGCTGCCCTGGAGAAGGGCATGGCAACCCACGCCAGTCTTCTTGCCTGGAGAATCCCACGGACAGAGGAGCCCGGCGGGCTACGGCCCAGGGGGCGGCAGAGAGTGGGACAGGACTGAGCAACTGACACTCTCACTTTCAGGGGAAAGCGAAAGTTCTGCCGTACAGAGACTAGTAGCTACAAAAAGTAAAACTGATGTAGAAAGTTACCCTTTGGCAGCCTCCACGTGAGAGCTGTTCAATAATTCTGCTTTAAATGTTAAAAGTGAAAATAAATAAAAATTTACAGTTTATCTACCCAGACTCCCCCCCAGAAACCACCAGCCCAAACCCTCTGATGACTGTTAATTATTGGGTGAGACCCTGGAACGTCCTGGAACAGGACCGTCTGCCAGAAGGAGGGTCCTGCCCCTGCTCCGCCCCTGCAGGCGGGAGGCCGGGTCTCAGCCTTTGCCGGAACCCCTGCCCTCGAGCCTGTGCCCCGGCAGGCGCTAGTTCACGTGGCTTTGGGGGAGGACGGGTTTCACAGAGCTGGCTCGGTGAGTCCGGAGGCCGTCACTACGGGGCTGGGTCAGGAAACCGCTGCGTTTATTTGACCGAATGCAACCTTCTCTGTGGGTTGCGACCGGCGGGTCAATTCTATTTCAATTTCGGGGGACAGTAAGGAACATCCTCCTCTGTCTTCCTCCTTCCTGGGTGCCTGTGGCTCCGCTGCACCTGTTCCTGCGATGACTCCGTCCATCACAACAAGGACAGCGTTTTTTTTTCGGTTTGGCTGCTTTTTCTAACCTTTATTTATCTCTGGCTGCGCTGGGTCTCCGTTGCTGTGCGTGGGCTTTCTCCAGCTCTGGAGTGGGGGCTTCTCAATGCAGTGGCCTCTCTCATCGCAGAGCACAGGCTCCAGGGCACAGAGCCTTCAGAAGCTGTGGCTCACGGGCTTAGTTGCTCCGCAGCATGTGGAGTCTTCCCAGAACGAACACAGGGATCAGACCTGTGTCCCCCGCATTGGCAGGCAGATTCTTAACCGCTGGACCACCAGGGAAGGCCAAGGGCAGCATTTTTAACTCCAGCAGGAGGCCAAGCGAATGCCCACTGACCCCCGTTTGGAAGCAACCTGGGGGTCTACGCTGACGTATTGTTAGAAGCTCCGTTAGGGTCAGCTCTGGAATAATAGTCATTTCAAACCCTTGGAACCCTGAGACGCTGGCGGGCTTGGTTCACAGTGGGAAGGAGCCAGTGGGAAGGCGTGGTGCTCAGCCCAGAAGAACCATCACGAAACAGCCATGGATGCAGCCAGGTCAGGAGGGGCCCAGGCCAAAGGCCACCCAAGGAGAGAAGCCAGGTCAGGGACCACAGACCCCAGGCCCGCCCAGCTCAGGTCTGTGACTGTCCTTGGAGGCTCAGGTTCACGCTCAAGAACCCACGGACCCGTCTGTGGTCCAAGCCTCAGTGCCGGGAACCACGTCACCATGATGGACAGAACCCCCCCCACCCCATGAGCTGGGCACCAGCCTAGGTGGCCAGGCCCACAGGAGCAGCCTGCTCACCACGGGGCCAGAACCAGCACGTGCTCACTGCCTGCCCCTCAACTCCAGCCTGGTGCTCAGACCCAGGGAATCAGAACCTCTAGTGCCCGCCCCTGCCTCCCCCCGCTCCCCATCCAGACTCTTCACAGCGGCCACCCCCCCCACCGCCCCCCACCTGCCGCCTGGGACACGCCCTTCTCCCCAGCCCTGGGGCCTTACCTCACCACCCCTGCCCTTGGAAGGTCAGCCCCCAGCAGGCATGGCACAGCTTCCTCCTCCAGGGGTCCCCACCCACAGAAGCCCCCTCAGCCTCGTGCCCACATCACCCATCAGGACAGCCAGGAGCCCGGCTTGTCCATGTTGCCCCCCTGCCCCAGCACACAGACCCCCGGATTCGCCGTCTCACCACGTCCACTGGGCTGGTAAGCTGCTCACCTTCAGCCAGGCCTCTGAACTCACGCCTGAGGCCTGCGATCTCCTGACCCCTCCAAGCACCCACTCACACTGTCCTGTCCCCTGGCACCTCGGGCACTGCAGGTGCGTCACTGATGAGCCAGCAGCCCTGCTCTCACACGGCGCGGCTAGATTTCGGGGACAGGAGTGGACAGTGGTCCCAGCACGGCCACCTCTGCGTGGACGGGGACCGACACGGCCGACACGGCCGGAGGAGCACAGGGGTGGGTCCTGCCCCCACGTTAGGGGTCAGAGGAGCCCCCACAGTGATGAGAGAGCTCCCTTCCTCAGCTGACAAACACACCTGCTGGTGGTTCAGGAACTGTGAGGGCCACGTGTGTATGTGACGTTGACATGGGGTGGGCGGGCTGCCCCATCCCAGGAGGGGAGGGGAGGGAGGCCCTGCTTGCTGAGTCCAAGATGAACGCTCTCTGCTCAGCATCACCCACCTGCTGGGGGGAGGGGGGGAAGCCCTAAGTTGCCATGGAGACCCTCACCTGAGCTTCTCCCGGCTCTCACAACAACCTCACTTCCGCTGGTTGAGTTCACATGTCCCGTGGGCACAGGGCTCTCCCTGGGGTGACGATGCCTTCCCCCAGGAGACACTGCGTAACGTCTGGAGGTATCTTTGGTGGCGACAGATGGTTGGGGTGTTCCTGGCATTCGTGGGTGAAAGCCAAGGAAGCCATAAACACTCCCACGGTGCAAAGACAGCCCCCAGCATGAAGAACTGCCTGGCCCCGTGGTGGACTACTATTCCGCCATGAAAAAGAAGGAAACCCCACTATTTGCAAGGATGTAGACGGACCGTGAAGGTGTGACGTATGCTGAAATAAGTCAGACGGAGAAAGACAAACACTGAACGATCTCACTGACATGTGGAGTCTAAAACAACGGAACTCACGGAAACAGAAAACAGACTGGTTGTTTTTTTTTTCCGTGGCCGCCCCGGGCAGGACGCAGGGGTGGGCAGAACAGGTTGAGGGCAGCTAAGGGCCCAGACCTCCAGCTGTAAGATAAGTAAACCCCACGATGTCGTGGGCAGCGTGGGGACTACAGTTAATCATGCCGTGTTGCCAGGAGGCCCCTGAGGGCCAGTGGTCTGGACTCTGCATTGCCCATGGCGAGAACAAAGACTGGGCCCCTGGTTGGAGAACTAAGATCTCACACGCCGCATGGCATTGTGCGGCTCGGCAAAAAAAAATACTCTGCATATTTAAAGTGCCTAAGAAAGCAGATGGGTTTTCCCTGGTGGCTCAGTGGTAAAGAATCTCCTGACAACGAAGCAGAAGCAGGTTCGAGCCCCAGGTTGGGAAGATCCCCTGGAGAAGGAAATGACAACGCACTCCAGCATCTTGCCTGGAGAAGCCCATGGACAGAGGAGCCTGGAAGGCTACAGTCCATGCGGTCGCAAAAGAGCTGGACACGACTGAGCAACTGAACAAGAGAGAGTAGCTCCTAAAAGTTCTCATCCTAAGGAAAAAAAAAAAAGCGGAACTCTGGGTGGGGCTGGATGTTAACTAGACGTGTTGCAGTGGTCACTCCCCAGGGCACCCACAAACCAAGTCGTTAACTGCACACCAGAAATTAAGGCAAGGTTTTGTGTCAATTGCTTAGCCATAAAACCGGAAACCAAAAGAGCAAAGAGAAGATCAATAAAAGTGCCCATTTGGAACTGGTAAGAAAAACAGAAAGGCTCATCCAGCCGCAAGGTCAGTCGGCCAGAGGATGGCGGCCTGTACTCTTCTCGCCCACACGTGATCCGAGGCCCCACACATAGAGACTCGGTTTCCAGCGGCGGGAGCTAGACACCTGCAAATGCGCGCCTGTCTTCAGGGAGGGAGACACAACTCTGTTATGCGTTCATTCACTCATTCAGCTCAGGTCCCTACGGAGCTCCTACCACCTGCCAGGCGCTGGCCAACTGCTGGCAATTCCAGGTACAACACGGGCCCTGGGAGCAGGCAGAAAGCGCATTTAAGACCCAGTGAAGGGTGATGCTGTGGGTGCACGTGGAGTCTCAACAAGATCATCATCTCCTCTCCCTGAAACCACGCTTCAGGGGGCCTTCCCAAAGTCTCTCCAACCAGCCCTACCTCCGGTCTCCAGGTCGTGGAAATTCGGATCCAGGCCTCGGTCCAGCATCTTGACAATTTTCTCCACTGACCGATGCTGGATGTGATCCATGCATTTTTTCAAATTGGTCTGGAGAGAAAAGTAAAAGTGGTTTTACGGAGAACGTCTCTACAGACCACGGGAAGGCTCCTTGTGGGATGCACGCTGGCCTCCTCTCCAGGGAGGAGAGCTACCCCTTGAAGGGGCCCCACTGCAGACCCCAGGCTCATGGGGTAGCATTGTTCTGTGCCTGGAACCCCAGGGCCAAGCTCAGAGCCCAGTACATGGAAAATGCCATTAGCCCACCCTGGATGAATGTTCTAGAAACCACCCCACCGATTCCTGCCCTTGCCTAGAGTCACAGGACGCTTCTTCACTTTCAAGAGGCTGAACATCCTGGACCACTTTGAAAACAACACTTTCCAGGGCGCACCCCAGGTCTTCTGACTTCATCCCTGGTGACTGAGGCCCAGGGATTGGTACTTGTGCTTCTTAATCTCTAAAGCGGCAGGCTCAACGGGGAGCAAAAGGGCACAGCTCACTCGGCTTAATCCAAGCAAGTCAAGGTGAAAGAGACAGTCACTCCTCAAGAGACCAGACTACCGGGGACTCATCCCTGATGGGGCCGCCCAGCCATGCCTGGAGAGAAATAACGATCATGTGTCCATCAGACAGACAGCCCGGCCGTTTGATCGTAACCACGGAATCCGAGATAGCTCTGTCGGATGAACCGAGGGCTCTCACTGGCCAGTCCTCCGCCTCCACTCCACAGTCCTCCTCCCAGACACCCCAAAGCCCCTGGACCCTTCAGCCCAGGGACACAGGCTGAATCTCCACCTGGACGCTTTCTGTACACCAGGGGAATAAAAGTTCACAAATATCCAAGGACAGAGGACACACTTGGTTACACTGAACACCTTCACTGCTATTTACAAACTGACGTTATTTTAAAGGCACAGACACATTTTCATCATTTTCATCTACATGCTGGAGGGTAATTAAAAAACCAAAGGACCCACACTTGGAGTCTAAACACCCCTGTGCGGGCGGATCCCAGGGCTGGGCAGAGAAAGCCCAAGGGCAGCCTGACTGTCCTGTGCCTGAGAACCGCCAGCGCTGAAAGCACAGTGGGGACACGCCAAGGGTGTGGAGAGCCAGGCGGAAGGGCCACCAGCTGCGTCTGGACAACTTGAGCACAAAACCAACGCAACTGGCAGGCGACAACCCACTGAACACGGTGAAGATCCTCACGTCCCTCCTGATATGAATGGGGGCGAAAGACAACAAGGGGACCCTGCAGGGCAGGGAGGCCCCCTGTGCTCGTGGCCCCAGCTGAGCTCACCTGGGCAGGTCAGGGCCGGCTCGGGGAGGCCGTCAGGCAGCGACCCGACGCTGGCCTTGCCCGAGCTCCACAGGAGATGCTCCGGGCTCCCTGGGGAGGGGTGGGGCGGGGGGAGGGCATCCCTGAGCATCCCTGGGCATCACCCCGCGTGCTCTGTGCTGGGCAAGGTGCCCGCCACACGCTCCAGCGCACCCTGGACACACACAGCATCCCTGGCAGGGCACAGCCATGCCTGCAGAACAGCCCATGGACCTTTGTTAACCCTCTCCTTCTCCCCTGCCGCCCTCGCGCAGCCGTCTGGCCTCCAAGCAGCTTATGTAAACAGCACTTTAATCACAAGGGCGGCAGCAGCAGACACCTACTGGAGTGCTGGCCCCAATCTGGGCAGCCACGGCTCAGAGGGAATGGCCACCTCTCCTTCCAGAAACACGGAGGGAGGTGAGTAGAAAGCAGGGTCCCAGTCTCCTCTCTCAGTGACGTTACCTCCCTTCTACACGGGCATCTACCGAGCCTGCATCCCACGGGAGGAGACGTTGGCGGTGTCTAACGGGGCTCTGGCGGCTGCAGGGGTCCCTTCAGCCGCAACATCTCCCGGGAAGAAGAACCACTGTCCAAGAACCGCGCTGATCTCTGGAGACGCCGCCGCAGGAATGACATCACGAGCCGACACCAACACTCCTCGCTTACCTTCGTGTGCAGCTTGGCCAGCTGTTTCTCGTCTAGGTTGGTCTGTCTATACACCCGCTTCTTGTAGCGAAACTGACACAAAAAAACAGGGGCGGGAAAAGAAAAGAAAACCAGGTAAGCATTTCACACGGCTGGCCACTGGGAGGGGAAGCCGGCCTCTTCCATGGCTGTCTCACCCACGGCAGGGGCTCCCGAGCAAACCCCGCGGCGTTAAATAAACCGTTTGTATTCGAAGCACAGAGACTGCGACAGCGCATGAGTAACTTCTGCAGAGATGCTGCTGGAAAGTCACTAGGAGAAACGAGAGCAATCGGAGGGACAAGCACCCGGGAGCCTGGTGTCCTCTGCCTCCTTTCCCAGTGAGCCAGTCTCCCCGCTGTCGGCGAGGCACCAAATCGGGACCTACTTCTCACATCAGCCATGTCCCCAGCATCGGCCACCTTTATTAAACAAGCATTAGAAGGCCGAGGAATTGATGCTTTTTAACTGTGGTGTTGGAGAAGACTCTTGAGAGTCCCTTGGACAGCAAGGAGATCCAACCAGTCCATCCTAAAGGAAATCAACCCTGCATATTCCACTGGAAGGACTGATGCTAAAGCTGAAGCTTCAGTCCTTTGGCCACCTGATGGGAAGAACCAGCTCATTGGAAAAGACCCTGATGCCGGGAAAGATTGAGGGCAGGAGAAGAAGGGGATGACAGAGGATAAGATGGCTCAATGGCATCACCAACTCAATGGACATGAGTCTGAGCAGGCTCTGGGAGATAGTGAAGGACAGGGAGGCCTGGCACAGTGCAGTCCATGGGGTCACAGAACGTTGGACACAACTGAGCGACTGAACCACAACCGAAGCCCCAGCCTGCTGGAGCCGCCGGCCCGCGGTCTCCACCTGGGACCTCGGAGCTCAGTCTCACTCCCTCAAACGTCAGGGCCTCTGCTAACCTGGAGGAGACAGGGGAACAGAGGGCACACCCTGGGCAGGTGCAGTTACGGTGCCCAGGAGGGCGCGGCAGGGCTGCAGGCTGCTTCTGAATCCACAGTGACCCCACCTGACGCCCCCCGCTTCTCCCAGGTGCCCTGGATGCTTCTACATGTAGTAGATGCACCAGGGTGGGTTTGGGAAGATGCTGGCTGCTTGGGTGTCACTAAGTTTTTAGGTCGAAACATGGCTCCAATTCCAGCCCCACCACTGTCCCAGGGTAACCAAAAGTGGGGTCCAGCTGCTCGCCATTCAAAGCCAATCAAGAGGCCAGGTTGGTGGAAAGGGGAGTTTGTTTGATTTTGGATGCTGGCAATCAGGGGTGGGGGCCAGGTGCCTCTACAAAGGCTGACTCCCCTCCCGAACAGTCACTGGGCAAGAGCTTTCACTGACGGAGGGAGGGGGCTGCAGGCACAGTCGACTCTGACAGGCATCTTGAAATGGGTCATCGGTGGTCTGACCAGCATCGTCTTGGTTGTTTTAGGTACAGCTTTAGTCTTTAGTTGCAAGGCTGGTTTGTGCCCATTTGAGGCCAGTTCCCGGAATTGTGGCAGCTTATGTCCCGGCTGGGCTTCCCAGGCAGCGTAAGTGGTACAGAACCCGCCTGCCAGGGCAGCTGATGTAAGAGACGTGGGTTCGGTCCCTGGGTCGGGAAGGAGGGCGTGGCAACCCGCTCCAGTATTCTCGCCTGGAGAACTCCACGGACAGAGGAGCCTGGCGGGCTACAGACAGGGTCATGAAGAGTCAGACACGACCGAAGTCTTAGCACGCACACGTGCAAGGATGCATGTCACAGCTATAGTCTGGTCGCCGTGGAGTTAACTTCTTCCACCTGGTGGGGGTTTCAGGATCTAAAAGACAGCTCCCGGGACATGACATGGCTCAGAGTATTATCTACAGTCCTTGAGGAAGAACTAAAAGTCCTTGACTTCACTTAGAGACTAACCTTTATGACTTGGTCTCCTTTGAACGTCTTCCTTTATTTCTGCATGTTCTCCCTTGTCTGATTAAACTTATTCTCTGGGTAAAGTTCTTCCACAGACAAAAGGTGGGCAAAGGACTGGGGGGTCAGGACCACATGGTCCTGCCCTGTTTCACTAGCAGCTGAGTCACGGGCCTGAACACCTGCCTCACCGGAGCCTCCGCTTCCTTGTCAGGCACACGGGGATCACACTCAAAGCTCCCAGGGCGCCCCGGGAAGGAACGTGAGCTTCCTGGCCCAGGACCAGCACTGGGCAAACACTGTACCCTTCCCGCCCCCACTTCCTTTGATTCCCCTCTCTCACGCCGAGGAGTTTAAATAACCACGGACGTGACATGAAGGCTCAGAGCGGGGGATGAGCTAACTCTGAAGGTCTGATTCCATTCACGTCTCCAGAGCGACCCCCTTATGGCCACCCCCCAACTCCAAACAGAAGAGCAATCCCGTAAGAAACCACATTCCTTGGTGCCACAGATCGGAACCTGTTATTTATTTTTTTTAGGTGCCAAAGTAAACCAGTGCAATCAGAAAACCCAGTTCCTGGATCATGTGTGCTGTTGAGAACAGTCAGCGTCCATCCTCTTGAACTGACCTTGTGGGAAGAGACGCAGGCCATTTTAGGATTCTGCCCCCTGGTTCTAGAGTCAAGCGGGACACCGCGTCCAGGGGACGGCCGTGAAACCTCCCTGTTGCTTGTCCTCATCCCAGACGAGAACGCTTGTCTTCTCCACCCGTCTTCATCCGTGGCCCTGGGGACGCGGCTGCGTGCGTGTGCCTCTGCTCAGCCGTGTCTGACCCTTCACAGCCCCACGGACGGCAGCCCACCAGGCTCCTCTGTCCATGGGATGCTCCCTGGCAAGAATACTGGAGTGGGTGGCCATTTCCTCCCCCAGACGATCTTCCCGACCCAGGGATCGAACTCACGCCTCCTGCATTGGGAGGCAGATTCTTTACCACTGAGCCACTTGGGAAGCCCCTGGGAGTGACGTGAGAGACTGTCACAGTTTGCTAACTTGATGGATCTGTAGGACTTCAAGGCACTGGGTGCTTCTTCCAGTTATAAAAAAACACACTAGGGTCGGTAACATCTCTCGGCAGGAGGGTGAGCACTTACAGGAGAATGTCCTGCTTCCAGAATCGTAATCGTTTGCAACGTGTGGCTACAGAGGGACCCAGGCTCAGAAACACAAATCCTTTTCTCACCCTTCTCTCCATGTGTCGTAGGTAGCCAACCCTGTCCTACTGCAGTGATCCAAGGCTCAGACCCACGCTGCCCCTGGTGTGTCCGCCGCCAGGCCTGGCTCAGCCCCGCCCAGCAGATCATCCGGCAGGACGGTGGTCCAAGGAGATGAATGAAGGCACGTGTGAGTGATGCTTCCATGGCAACGAGAGCGGACGGCAGGGGCAGCTGCAGCACCGCCGCTCGGGCTCGCCCGTCACCAGGCTGTGTGCTCAGAGTGGTGCTTCGTGGAGCAGCCCACCTGGGCCTCACGTCCATGGAGAAGGCGGCCCGAAGGCTCCCCTGCCTTCACAGCTGGGAACCTGTGGCTCAGAGAGGCTGGGCGTGGGGAACACGCAGGGTCCCTCGGCGGCCAGGATGGGACCCAGGCTGTCTGAGGTCACAGCCCCGGCTCCTGTGGTCCCCAGGCAGGACATCAGAAGCACACGTGTGCCAGCTGTTCTGGAAGTCAGGACAGCGGTTCTGGCTGCACGGTTCCCCCCGGTCCTCCCCGGTTCCCCCCAGTTCCCCCTGGTTCTCCCCGGTCCTCCCCGGTTCCCCCCAGTTCCCCCTGGTTCTCCCCGGTTCCCCCCAGTTCTCCCCGGTCCTCCCCGGTTCTCCCCGGTCCTCCCCAGCTTCCTCCTGTTCAGGGCTTTGGGGGCGGGGGTGGGGTGGGCCAGCCTTCCTCAAGATGCTTTCCGATCAAGAGTAGGCTCTGGACTTCCTGTTCCCACCTGTTTTACTGTCTTTATGGAAATTATCAGCCCCTAAAGGAGCTGTGGGTTTACTGTTCCTGGCCTGTCCCCCCCCCCCCCAGAGTGTAAGCCTCATCGGGCCAGAACCCTGACTGTCCCGTGTCGAGAAAGGGCTGGTGCTGAGCAGGCAGGCCCCCAACAAGGGGTTGCTCAATGGATCCCCACTTCACAGATGCAAACCGAGGCCGGGACAGGGGCCCACATGACTCCCGAGAGGCACGTCAGCTTTTCCTCCGCGGGAAACCTTCTCCCTGGCCCAGGGCACGCTGGGGATCGCAGAATCTCAGCTTCGACATCCCCATCAGGCCTGGGAACATGCAGGTGAGGTGCGGCCTCGGCCTTCTCTGACTTCAGAGACCTCGGCGTCTCTGACTTCAGAGTCACCCCCATGAGGGCACAGATGCCACTCCCGGGCTCTCGCCGTTGGCCAGGCAGAATTGAACACCATCGCTTGATAATGAGGGGCGCGTGGGGCACCTGTAGAAACGTCCACGCTCCTCCGACTCGTGTCTCTGCATTAATACCCCGTGTGGGTGGAGGGGCCACTGGGAGACAGACCGCTGTGCACACACCACTGTACACAGAACAGACGCTAACAAGGACCTGCCGCACGGTGAGGGGACGCCACTCAGCACTCCGTAACGGCCGATACGGGAGAAGACTCCATAAAAGGTGGATACATGTAAGTGAATGACCGACTCACTCTGCGGTACACTCGAGATTAGCACAGCACCGTGAATCAACAATACTTCAGTAAAACTCAGTTTAAAAAAACCTGAATAGACTCTGTATCCCACTGTCGTGTGAAAACCAGATAAATCTTAATTATGTTGAATGGGTCGTGGTGTTTTTCAGGTCTACGGTATCCTTCTCCTTTCCTGTCTGTTCATTCCGTTAATTTTTGAGAGCTTGATACTGAAACTCTAACTAAAAAAATCTTAATTTACCTACTTAAAAAATAATTGTAATACATTGTGGAAGTGTATGTAACTTTGTTCTATACTTTCCAAGTCTCCTGTAAATGTGTTATCATACTTTCATAATTAAAAAAATTTTTTTAATTAAATAATCTTTAAAAAATGATGTGGAAATTCCATATGTAAACCTGGGCTCCTCAGGGGCAGGGTCTGGGGACGCCCCTTCTGTGGATGTGAGACGGCCAGTGGATGCCCCCCGAACGTCACGAGGCAGCCCACCCACCCAGGAGCACCTGACCGGCCACAGGGGCTCACAGCCCACTGGTCACTCCCGAGACTCAGCTTCTGACTACAGCTGGATGGCCGCCGGCCACCCGCGCCACGGAGAGACCCAGTGGGGCAGAAGCAAAGCCCACTCTGCACCCTGAGACTCAAAGGTCCCAGGGACATGAGCTTGAGTCAGACCCACGGTTCGCTCACAGCAAGACATCCCTGCAGCAGGACGTCCCTCCAACTTAGTCCGTCCGATCCACAGTGAGAAAACAAACAGCTACGCATTGCATGTGCGCCTGCTAAGTCGCTTCAATCGTGTCCGACTCTTCGCCACCCCATGGACTGTAGCCCACCAGATTCCTCTGTCCATGGGATTCACCAGGCAAGAACACTGGAGTGGGTTGCATGCCCTCCTCCAGGGGATCTTCCCCACCCAGGGATCGAACCCGAGTCTCTTACGTCTCCTGCACTGGCAGGCGGGTTCTTTACCACGGGTGCCACCTGGTCTGCAGACCAGGACAAAATCACCTGTGAGCTCACGAATGCAAACTATTGATTTAAGAGTGATTTCCAAACAGGAGTCAAACCCGGAGTCTGGGAAGGCACCCCCCCACCCCACCCCCCCGCCCCATCGCGCCGGCTCTGGGCAGGCGGCAGTACCTCCAGGGACGGGATGCCCTTGCCCGTGGGCTGCGGGTACTCGCGCAGCAGCCGCTCCTCGTCCAGGAACTTGCCGTCGCGCCCGTCACTGGCCGGCTGGAACAGCCCGTAGTTCAGGACGTCCTTCAGGCTCTGGTTCAGCGAGCACAGAATCCGCTGCTTTGCAACCCACACCGTAGCATCCGGGTTGAATCGAATGCACTTCTGCGGGGAGGACAAGACCCCTGGTTAGCGATGCAGGAACCCCCCGGGGCAAGCGGTCAGAGATGCCCAAGGGGCCTCCATTCCATCCTGAGGGCTCCTCTGAGCTCTGGACTCCCTGGCTTTGAGGTGAAAACCATGACCCCCTTGTCTCTTTGGCAAATATAAAAGGGGAAAAGCTCGGATGGAATCACTGATTCCGGGGCCCTGGCTCTCACTCCGGGACCAGCTGCGTTTTCTGGTCGTCACTCACCATCACCGACTGCCTTGGGCGGTTCTCTCACTTGGACAGAGAGTTTCTCAAACTTCCCTGCTTGTTAAAACACACACGGATGACCCTTCCCCCTCCCGGAAGAGTGTCCCATGCAGCGGGCCTGAGTCCGACCACAAAGCTGCCTTTCTCACAAGTTTCAGGGTGATGTGACTGCAGCTGACCCAGGAAACAGACTGAGGACCATGGCTCGAGCAAATCACAGCGCGGCTGAATTTCTACACCGATGGCTCTCCGTTGCCATCTCGCGGACAGACAGGTCTCCTTTCCTCACTTCACTGATGACGGGAGAGCCCGGGGCACCAGCGGCTGACCCCACCCCCCTGACTGTAAAAACACTCACAGCGCCCGTCCCAAACCATAAAGGAGGCAACTAGGAAAAAGGGTTTGACTTAGAAATCATATCCGGTGCCATGAAAGTTAATTTTTGAAAAGGTTAAATGGTACAGACGGTTCCTGCAGACCAACCGTGAACACTTTTCAAGAACAGAACAGCGCCGCCAGGACCTGAACACGCGACTTGGTCGCAACTCCCAGGTCCCGTCCGTGAGACCTGCCCACGAGCCTGGAAAACAAGGCTAGGCCGAATCCACTTCTGACCGCAATTAAAGTTATGTTCTACTGCACAGCCATCAGCAGGGGCTCACAACTTTGCCTACTCGCCGTGAAAGCATTCAGATAGGAAGAGGACTGACTGCGCCAGAGGCTGGAACCAGGTCTCTGCAGGGGCGCCCGCACGCCCGAGGCGGCGCCAGGGCCCTTCTCTCTCCCTGACCCTCCGCCTGGGCCACGCCTCCCGGGTCGTAAGAGGATCCCGCTTTTCTCAACAATGAGGTTGGTGGAGCAGACAGCCCAGAATCCCACTGGCAGGAAACCTGACCCCACGGGCATGCATGTGCCATCTGTCCGTCTCCAATGGCAAAGGCTGAACTGGAGAGTAAGGCTCAGAGTTCATCTCGGGGCCACGAGGTGGGTGGGGGCCCAGTTGTTCACTTCGGGGACTGCCAGCCAGCCAGCCCCCGCCACCTAGGGCTGAGGAAGAAGAGTGTCTGCGAAGTCCCAGTCCTTCTGAGCTCTCCCAGCTGTGAGCAAGTGGGGCTGTGCATCCCCCTGCAATTCCTGCTTGGAGAATCCTTGCTGGCCTCTGGTTCCAACTGCACGGACAACTCCAGTTCCCTTAGACACCAGCATCCAGAGGGCCCGAGGGTCCTTCCCTGTGGCCGGCAGAAAGGAAGCTGTCAGCAGGCGGGTGCTGAGTGGAGCACAGGCTGGGAGTCGGGCCCCGGGGAGTCCGCGTGGCATTTGTAGATGGTCCCAGAGATTACTGGTGCCCACTGCCACACAGTTGGCAGAGCTGGGGAGGCCACCTCTGTGCACTGTTGTGGGCGGGCCCTGCATGATGAAGGGATGTCCTGCTCCAAAAATGCCAGGAGGGCCCCACTGAGAAACTGCTAGAAGGAACAGGAGCTCGGAGGTCAGAAAGGCTTGGGTTTATGACCCAGCTTCGTATTCTAACCTTGTGATCCTGGGCAAAGCAGCTGCTCAGCGGTTTCCCTGTTTCTGTGATGAAAACCATGACAACTACACAACTGGTAGGTCTGTTGTAAGGATCATACAGAACAGACGATATGTGCTGTTACGGGCTGAACAGTGTCCCTCCCAAAAAAGATAAGGGTTCCCACTCCTTAAGGAGCTCCGAGTCTATCTAGCAGGGGGTAATGATGATGACGGTATTGGTGGTGGTGGTGGCAGTGGTGGTGATGGTGAAGGTGTGATGGTGGTGATGATGGTGGTGGTGATGGTGGTGATGATGGTGAAGATGTGATGGTGGTGAAGATGGTGAAGATGTGATGGTGGTGATGATGGTGAAGATGTGATGGTGGTGATGATGGTGGTGGTGATGGTGGTGATGATGGTGAAGATGTGATGGTGGTGAAGATGGTGAAGATGTGATGGTGGTGATGATGGTGAAGATGTGATGGTGGTGATGATGGTGGTGGTGATGGTGGTGATGATGGTGAAGATGTGATGGTGGTGAAGATGGTGAAGATGTGATGGTGGTGATGATGGTGGTGGTGATGACAGTGGTGATGATGGTGAAGATGTGATGGTGGTGATGATGGTGAAGATGTGATGGTGGTGAAGATGGTGAAGATGTGATGGTGGTGATGATGGTGAAGATGTGATGGTGGTGATGATGGTGAAGATGTGATGGTGGTGATGATGGTGAAGATGTGATGGTGGTGATGATGGTGGTGGTGATGACAGTGGTGATGATGGTGAAGATGTGATGGTGGTGATGATGGTGGTGGTGATGACAGTGGTGATGATGGTGAAGATGTGATGGTGGTGATGATGGTGGTGGTGATGGTGGTGATGATGGTGAAGATTTGATGGTGGTGATGATGGTGAAGATGTGATGGTGGTGATGATGGTGGTGGTGATGACAGTGGTGATGATGGTGAAGATGTGATGGTGGTGAAGATGGTGAAGATGTGATGGTGGTGATGATGGTGAAGATGTGATGGTGGTGGTGATGGTGGTGATGATGGTGAAGATGTGATGGTGGTGATGATGGTGAAGATGTGATGGTGGTGATGATGGTGAAGATGTGATGATGGTGGTGATGGTGAAGATGTGATGGTGGTGGTGATGGTGGTGAAGATGGTGGTGGTGATGACAGTGGTGAAGATGGTGAAGATGTGATGGTGGTGATGAGGATGGTGGTGATGGTGGTGAAGATGTAATGATGGTGATGATGGTGGTGATGACGGTGGTGATGGTGGTGATGACGGTGGTGATGGTGAAGACGTGATGGTGGTGATGATGGTGAAGATATGATGGTAGTGGTGATGATGGTGGTGATGGTGGTGAAGATGTAATGATGGTGATGATGGTGATGATGGTGGTGATAATGGTGGTGATGGTGAAGATGTGATGGGGTGATGATGGTGAAGATGTGATGGTGGTGATGGTGATGGTGAAGATGTGATGGTGGTGATGGTGGTTGTGATGACAGTGATGATGCTGAAGATATGATGGTGGTGATGATGGTGGTGGTGATGGTGGTGATGATGGTGAAGATGTGATGGTGGTGATGATGGTGGTGGTGATGGTGGTGAAGATGGTGAAGATGTGATGATGGTGATGATGGTGAAGATGTGATGGTGGTGATGATGGTGAAGATGTGATGGTGGTGATGATGGTGAAGATGTGATGGTGGTGATGATGGTGGTGGTGATGACAGTGGTGATGATGGTGAAGATGTGATGGTGGTGAAGATGGTGAAGATGTGATGGTGGTGATGATGGTGAAGATGTGGTGGTGGTGGTGATGATGGTGGTGATGGTGGTGAAGATGTAATGATGGTGATGATGGTGGTGATGGTGAAGATGTGATGGTGGTGGTGATGGTGGTGATGATGGTGGTGGTGATGACAGTGGTGAAGATGGTGAAGATGTGATGGTGGTGATGAGGATGGTGGTGATGGTGGTGAAGATGTGATGGTGGTGATGATGGTGAAGATGTGATGGTGGTGATGATGGTGGTGGTGATGACAGTGGTGAAGATGGTGAAGATGTGATGGTGGTGGTGATGGTGGTGATGATGGTGGTGGTGATGGCAGTGGTGAAGATGGTGAAGATGTGATGGTGGTGATGAGGATGGTGGTGATGGTGGTGAAGATGTAATGATGGTGATGATGGTGGTGATGACGGTGGTGATGGTGGTGATGACGGTGGTGATGGTGAAGACGTGATGGTGGTGATGATGGTGAGGATATGATGGTGGTGGTGATGATGGTGGTGATGGTGGTGAAGATGTAATGATGGTGATGATGGTGGTGATGACAGTGAAGATGGTGAAGATGTGATGGTGGTGATGGTGGTGGTGGTGATGGTGAAGATGTGATGGGGGTGGTGATGGTGAAGATGTGATGGGGGTGATGATGGTGGTGATGACGATAATGATGGTGAAGATGTGATGGTGGTGATGGTGGTGGTGGTGATGGTGAAGATGTGATGGGGGTGATGATGGTGGTGATGGTGAAGATGTGATGGGGGTGATGATGGTGGTGATGGTGAAGATGTGATGGGGGTGATGATGGTGGTGATGACGGTGATGATGGTGAAGATGTGATGGGGGTGATGATGGTGAAGATGTGATGATGGTGGTGATGGTGAAGATGTGATGATGGTGGTGATGACAGTGATGATGGTGAAGATGTGATGGTGGTGGTGATGATGGCAGTGATGATGGTGACAATGAATACTGCATAATACTGCATATTAACGCATAGATGTGGAATCTAGAACAACGGTATGTTGTTGTTGTTCAGTCACCAAGTCATGTCTGACCCTTTTGAGACCCTATGGACTGTAGCCCGCCAGGCTCCTTTGTCCATGGGATTCTCCAGGCGAGAATACTGGTCTGGGTCACCATTTCCTTCTCCAGGGAATCTTCCCAACCCAGGGATCAAACTGGCATCTCCTGCACTGGCAGGCGGATTCTCCACCACTGAGCCACCAGGGAAGCCCGCAGAAAAATGGTGGAGAGGATCTTATTTGCAAAAAGCGGAAATACAGACACAGACGCAGAGAACAGCACAGACACCCAGGCGGAAAAGCGGATGGGATGAACTGGGAGATGGGACTGACGTATATGTAGTATTCACAGCTATGCATAAAACAGACAAGTAACGAGAACCTACCGGATAGCACAGGGAGCTCTACTC